CATAGGTGAAATAACTTTTCCCTGCTTTGCAACAGACCTGCTCAAAGTGGCTTTGGTGGTCTGCTCTGTTGTACTTGGTACTGCAGATTCCTTCAAGAAGTTGCAGTGTGAAAAATGATGGGTGATGCGTGAAACTAGACCAAAAAAAATATTGGGTATTAAAATATTTTTATTAAAATAAGTTAGTTTTACTTATTTACAATACCTAACAAGGAGATTGGTTCTACAGTTTATTTTATGTAAGTGGTAGTCTTTGAGAATCTCAGGGAGGTGGGGCATTCACACATCATCTGCTCACAGTCAAATCAAATTGCAAATGATGGACGTTGTAAGTTGAGTTAGAGTAATGATTATTGTTGGGGAGACCCATGTCTGTTCCCTCTTCTTATAAATTCTTTGTAATGTGTTGACAAAAAATGTCAGTACGATTAAAACTTTAAAATACACATGTATGGAATGTTAACTCTAAACTTGGGCTTTGGAGATATTTTATTGAGGGAGAAGATTAGGTCTCCTATGTACAATGTCACTTACTAGCTGAGTAAAAGCTGAGTTATCCATCAGATTTCCTGATTTTCTACAACTGTAACTTCATGTCACAGCTGAGTCCTTTGTCCTTTGTCAGTTGGTATTTGGATTGCCAGTGTATAAAGTGATCATGTAGAAATAATTCTGATACTTGAAAGCAAGACAGGCTAGAGAAGGCAATGAACAGAGTATAGAGAATAGAAATTTTCAGTTCCTCTGGAGTTGTTTGATGGAGCTTAAAGATTAACTTGCAAAAAAGATAAAAGAATTTATCAGTGCGTGCACAGGATGTCGGGCCAATTTTGAAATCAGAACTTTAGTGATGCGAAGGTGAAATGGGCCTTTGTTAAGAGAGGGGGAGCGACATTTGCTTCACTAGATTAGAGGTATTTAACTAAGAGCATAAAAGGGAAGAAAGGTTTGCCTTCAGGAGGTGCACTGCAGTTAGGTAACATGGGATGCATTTCCATACTTAAAATGTTCAGAGTTCAGTGTCATTCTTCCTGCAGCGGCGAGCAGAGGTGCTTTGATGGTAGGAGAGCGGGGCTGGCATCTGGTGGCCTGTTGTTTGTCCATGGGAAATCCCCTCTCCCTGCCTGCTCTGACCTCCCAGTTGCCGCCTGTCCTCAGTGTTCCCTCAGTTGGGAGCAGCAGGGTGAAGGAAGATATGTTTGCCATGTCAGGCTGAAGGCGGAGAGAGCTGGCAGCAAGTCCAGAATTGCTCCATAGAAGGAGATGGGCTAGGAGCATGAGGTCATCACTTTACAAGGAGGTGGTTCTTTTTGCAGTGTGTGGGAAGTAGCTCTAGGAAAGGAGACTTTTTTGCTGGTGGGGAGAAGAAACAGAGCAGTAAGGGAAGAAAGACTAAATGCATTCCACTGGGAAGTAAACTGCATAGATGCTCGTATTCTAAGATAAAACTGTCCACTTAGTCTTGCCCTAATTATATTGGTGCTGTACTTGCCTTGTGAAAATAGATTTCAAAAACCTAGTGGAGAGCTTTATTCTACCGTAGAGATAGTCTTGAAATTGTTGAGTGTTCACCATTTTATTAGGGAGTTAAAGGATTTAAAATTTGGAGCATGAAAATGTGCAGAAGGTCTATGCTGTTTATTGTGTGTGTCAGGTAAATCTAGCATTTCTTTACAAAGGTGTATTTTTGAAACTTTTTTGCAGTAGTGAATCAGTAAAATTCACAGCTTTGTTTCCAGGGTTTGAGAGAAGATAGTCACCTCTTATTTTATGAGTGTATGGTATCATACAGTACATAGGAAGTTTGGGTAAGATTCTTAAAAACCAGCAAGAAGCCTTCTAAAATAGCGTTTATTTTTGTGTTAGGGAATTATAATTTTTTTCTTGTGGAACAGCTTCACTGGATGGAAGGCTTTGATTGCTGTCAGCTTGTAGCATGAAATTATATTTTTGACCATTACGGTAATTCTCTATTTTCTCTTTCAAGTTTAAGTGCAGAGTTCAGTTCAGTGTAAGGAGTCTGAGATAATATGGAATTTTTAAATTGCTGTGTGTTTCCCTGATGATATTAAAAATAAATGCACAATAATTTAGGGCTTAAGGCTGTTTTTAATCTGAGTGAGTGAACTGTACCTCATGACGTCATTCTACTTTGGATTTCAGATTTCTGTTTGCTCTATAGTAACCACCTTCCCTTGCATTGTTGCTTTCTACACTTGAGAGAAAATGCCAGGTGCTTTAACCACATATAATTTCAGACTTTTTTCTTCATATCTGGGTTTCTTACCTGCTTACAATACTCAGATGGGTGCCTTAGCAGTTTGTAGAGACAACCCTCTGTACTCATAACTTTACTGCAGTTCTGTCGCCATGTATGGGTTTCACAGAATTACTGATCTTTGGAGTGTACTAGTTGGCTCTTTAGAGCGTCGTTGATGTTGTGGGCTTGCACCTTGAGCAAAAAGGATATTTTGTTAGGATATCTGGTATGGCTGCTCTTATTTTCTGCTCAGGGTACAGTTACTGCTTGGACCAGATAATTCCTTCAGGTTGTTGACAGGGTGAATGTGGAGTAACGGCACTAATTGCATACTCTGAGAGCTTTCTGCCGTGTAGCTCTCTGTTATGACAAACACATGCTGTCAGCTGTTTGTTGAGGGGGGAAATAGAACAATCATGTGTATGCTGTTAATCTGTTCTTTAGGTATGCTGTACAATACTGCCTGCAGAATACTGTAGTCCACTGGCAACCCTCTCTTAGTATGAGCTAGTAAGAAAATACTTAATGAATAAGTTCTTAATGGTTCTCATGTATTTGGCATTTTTCAATATGGCATTCAAGTCTTGGTCTGAAGACAGGTAGCTGTCTTGAAATTGTCATTACTTAATCTTAAGAGTCTCACAACTTTTTTTTTTCATTCTGTGATTCTGTAAGTGATTTATTTCAACATGAGGAGCTGAGACATTTAGAAATTACGCTTAAGCGTAAAACTAAATTACCATAATTAAGACTTAATGAAAAACTAGTTATCTTGTAAGTAGTGGCAACCTGTGAAAAGTCTGTGAATTGTTGTGTATTACATGAGCACTCTTTGCCAGAAGTAGAAGTTAAATCCAGAGCAGTGTTAAAGTGCATTAATCATGAGCCATTTGTTCCTTGAAATTGCCTTTTTAGTAAATGGGAGACACACAATTATAGCAATGAGCCTGATAAGAGTCGTGAAGATGAGCCCCTCTGACAGAGTGCTGAATCATACTCAGAGCACTCCATCCTCTCTAATAAATGGGTTAGGCATTTCTGGAGAAAAGCTCTATGAAAGTAATTACACAATCACATAATGCATATTCCAAAGAGGGTGGAATTTGGGTTTGCATCCTCATTTTGTGAGTCTCCTAATTTCTTACTCAGTTTGTCAGCTTTTCTGCTTTTTGTCAGTTCTGTTTATGCCTAACTTTTTGCTTTAGAAAATTTGGAAAATCTTCATACATTGACAGCATATTGTAGCTTACATTGTCTGTCATCACATTTGTAATGTTTGCTGTTTGAATTGAGAGTGGCCGTTATAAGTTGTTTTCTTTCTTGTAATAGAGAGCTGGAAAGGACATAGATGTAATGGTTATTTAATAAGACAGGAATTATTTTATTGAATATTTGGTGCTTTAATACTCAGGCAAATAACCTATTAATAATGGCTGAGCTGGTGGGTGTTGCTAGCTGCTACACTTGTAAATCACAAAATTCACCTTTGGTAAACATATAAACAAGTAGGAGTAGCATCATAGGATAAGTCCTGATTTTTGAATATATTAAGTTTGTTTTATTTGCTGTTACATTGTATAAATTTGTTAAATTATGATCACTGCAGTGTATTACCATTGTGTCTGCTCAAGTACAGCTTTTTAGAATTATGCTAAAGCTTCCTTTCTAGATTACATGTGTCTTTCAGATAGCATCTGACTTCCTAGTTGTGGCTTCTGCTTTCAAATGTTCATGAGTGTAAAATAATAAGCTGCAGCATTTGTTCTCTAAGTTTCAGGAAGTACTGGTAAGGGTTACAGTCAGGCAAAGTGGTTAAGTTCAAAAAATGTGACAACTTAAGCTTTGTAAAAATGTGAGAATTGTAATGTTAAAAAAAATCATACAACTTTACAGCAGCTTTTTACTGGTTAAAAAATAGAAAACATGGAATCAGATAAACACATCCTTGTTTATATTAGGTATATTTGTTGTATGTGAATGCTGTGTTACCTCCCAACTTTTCTGAAATTTTCATTATATTGTTGATAAACTGAAGTTCATCAGATAACAGAAGATGCCAAATACAGAGAAAATGGTGTCAGTTGAAGTGAGCATCTGAAAAAGCAAACAGTTCTATAGGGTCTGAAACAAAGATAGAAGAAAGCTATACCGTACCAGTTCTGCCTTTTGGATTAGGTGAATGTTGAAATTGGAGTGCAAAATCTCTCATCAGTGAATGTGTTAAGTAAATTTGAAGCTACTATTTTAATAAATTTAATTGGCATCCAGATAATCTAATTTATCTAAATGATTTTTTTAATGAGAGAAGGTAATTATATGTCATTCTTACTGAAGTGAAAATCTCAGTTCGAGTCAGTGGATGTGTTCTAGCTTCTAGCTCTCCTTCTCTGGAGCCAGGTGGTATCCTCTGAAGGGAAGCCAACTGATGGCAGTTTACTCCAGGCTCTGCTTCAGACACAATGTGGGAACTCACTGCAGGAGATTTGTGCCCTTTGCAGAACCGTCTTCAGGAGGTATCCTGTCCTTGTATGCCTTGTGTCCCAAGGCCTCATGTTTCCGGGAAGCATGCAGTGCATACCCTGTGCAAAAAGTCAGTCCAGTGGGCTGTGACACAGCGATTTCTTGTGCTCTGGTATTTCATCACCAGTCACCCCATCCAGGCTTGGGGAGCCTGAGTGGGGCTGTAGGGGTTAGCAGTGTGGGTGTGGTCAGTCTGCTTTTGGTGGGGGGGGAGCTGCCATTTCCAAAGCTCTGATTAAGCAGATGGTTATCAACATTTGGCCATTACAATAGTGTGGCTTGTGTCTCTCTACAGAATTTTTCTCAGATCAAGCTGGGATTTCTGGTTTAGAGATGCAGTCAAATTCCCTTTATGTATCTCAGAGTACAGTAAGACAAGAATTCTGAGGGAGCTAAATAACTCTTGTCTACAGTACAACAATATTGTCATCTCTAACTTGTTTCTGAATGACACTATGTTATGAAGAATATTGTCCTTTTAACTGAAATATTGGCTGCCTGGTATAATCTCTGGAAAGAACACTTTTGGGCGGCTGAAGGAAAGGCTGGATATGAAATAATAATCTAGTGCAATAAAGATCAGATAGGCTGAATCTTATGTATGCAAATAAATTTCCATGTGAAGACTCCAATCATGCATGTGCACTTCAGGATCACTTGTCCAGACATCTGGAAGATTAAGTCTCTACCACTTTTACTTGTTTGTAATAGCATCCATTAATTAAAGCTCATACATTTTCAAATGAGAGTAATATTCTTCAGAAGGAATGTTCTTTAGCTAGGATGGCTGATGAACCCAAACAGAACTGACTGGAACTAGGAAAAGAATAGGTAGGTTTTACATTTTGGTGTATATCTCTAGAATGTATGTAATAAAATTTGTTACACACTTAAAGCATATAATAAGGTTCAACAAATGCATCTTTCAGTCATTTGCGTTTCTGGTGAGAGTAACTGTGTCCCATTTAACAGAGAGTTATCACTGTATGGAGATGGGAAGGAGCAGTCAGTTCAGGAGCAGCAAACAGAGGCTTGAGGCAACACCTTTCACTGAACCACAGGATACGTTGTATCTCCCACAGTGCAACAGCCTGGAATATCAGTAGTTAGCAAGAGACAGAACTGTCTCATGGGCCTATGGTCCTCATGGCTAGTGTTTTCTGTACAAAATACTGGTAATCAAACTACATTAAATGTGGTACAATGATGCCAAGGGAATAAGTGACCCCAAGAAGACTAAATGAACAGTAAGTTAACTAAGTAGAAGGTTTAATGTACCAGAAGGATATGATTAGTTTAATGAAGGAGGCAAGAGGAAGAAACATCCTGATTGCTCTTTCAGTTTCTTTTCAAAGAGCAATAAATACTTGGAACTAGATTATGTTTCTCCTGAAGAGACCACATTGTCATTTATTACAGACTAATGGCAGATGTCTTACCTAATTGTTTTGTCTGAAGTGAGACATTCTGGCTGATATTGGGCCATAGGAAGAAATTAAATGTCTCTAGACTTTATAAAGTACTTCACATCCTGAGGATTTATCTTTTTCTATGGCTGTTCTTGAATCTTGAGAGCTAAGACAGTGCTGCTGGGAGAAGCTTCTGGTAGTACTCTGGATTTCTAAGTTGAAATATGCAATGGCAGCAGCCAGTGAATTTTGGGACCTGAAGTCTTCAGGAGAAGTCTTAGGTGTAGCTTTGTGATGGTGAGAGGCCCCCAGCAGGAGTGTTCTTCAATCCTGTTCCCCTTACATAGGCAACTATGCTTACATAGGCAGCCTTGGGACTCAGGATTTGCATGTGGGCTGTGTGTGTGTTATTTCTGACTTGCTATGTATTCATCTCGAGACTGATGATCGATATCAAGATGTGAAATGCTACTTTCAGAGGTTTGGGGTATTTTCTCAAATACAGGAGACTGCTTCCTTCCTTCCGACTAAAGAACTTGGTAGCTAATTGAAATCTAAATTCTAAGAGAAATCAGCAAAGATATAAGTTAACATGTTTAAAATAACTCTTCAGTTGAGGTGGTTACTACAGGTACTTTTTAATTCCAGTGTTGGCTATTTCTAGAAGTTGTTTCTACCTTCACTAGTTGTCTAAGACAAGAAATCCCTTGAAAACGCAATAGTTTAATTTTCTTTAGCTTCTCTTTTTTTTTGCTCAGAGGTTTCTGTAATACACTGTATAGTACACACTTTAAGTGAGCTTGAGTCACTGATGTATTTTTTATTCTGTTTTCAAATTGTGGCAAATTTTTGGACATTTTAACATTATGTATTTCTTCGTAATTCTGGAACAGTCTTTCTCTTTAGCTGGTAGAATTGGTTAACCAGGCTGGAGATGCACAGTACCTGCCCTGTGATAGTCACTTTTAGCAGCCTTATCCTGCTCAATCCATTTTTCTTTTAGGATCTAGTGTGGTGATACATGTTGGAACACTGCGGAGTTGAGAGGTCAGTAAAAATTTGTCAGTCAGGAATTCTCTGTTGAGGCCATGCTTTTCTCTGCCTTTCTTTGAGTCCTGGAGCTGAATTTAAGGAAAGTGTAATTCTTGGAAAAATAGAGGAAGGAAAGCTTTTTCTTTCTCATGAAACTCGTGAAAGGTAATGGGAAACTAGGCGTGTTTAGCTTTGAAAGCAAAAGAAGGGTGTGTGGCTCATTTTGTCACTTTCTCAGAGTCAACAAGACAAGAGAAGAGTCTTGAAGCATTAGTGACAGGATGTGACTTCTGTCAGCTGGACTAGCTCTTTTCTTCTTAACCTGTATCTGCCTTCACCTTCTTGATTGTCTGCCTGATGAGATTCAGTCTTGCTATTTAGCTGTGACTGTAAGGTAGGAACTTCTGTCGGGGGGAAACAAAGCTGGTTAAGTAACTGCACCTAAAAAGCACTTACTGCATGGTTTGCTACCAGATGTCAGCTCTACTCTTTGCCCATTCTTTCACAAAAGGCCTGAGATGATAAAGAACGTGCTGAGCAAGTTACCAGGCCATGGGAAGTGGCAAACAGCTGAAAATGGGGAGGAGAACGAGATTACTGTTTCAAATAGTCTTGGAAAATGGAAGATGTCATCTGGAACAAAGCAGGTATCAGTGAGTATGAAAGCTCACTGGCTGTTTGTAGGCTGGACAGAGTGGATATGTGGTGGTGGAAGATGAAGTTATGTGGAAAAAAAACATGAATTTTTGGATAATGAACAAATAAGGATATATTATCAAGTTGTTAGAAAGAGGGTAAGCACATGGGCAAGGAGCTTGAAAGTAATTTGAACTAATTTCTTGTTCTTGTCAGAGTTGGTTGGTCCTACAGTTGGTCCTACAGTTTCAGCTTCTGACTTCTTATGTGAGATGGAGACCAGTTGCAGGGTGTTCAGAGGAGAGCAATGGTTTAGAAAGTGGTTTAAAAGGAAAGATTGAAGATTGAAAAAAATTAGAATTGTCTTGTGATTCTAGGTAGAGAATCTGGAGGCTGTCTTTTTGGGCTTCTATCTGTTTCACTTTTTTTTTGGATTGCTGCTAAGTGTAAATCCTATTCTTTGATGAAGCCCACTGCTTCTTATTTGCATTTATTTTTAATAACATCACAGCTGCAGGAACTGCTAAGAAAAAATGTGGTCTTCCTACAGGTGCACAAATGGGAAAGTGAGAGTGCGCTGTTTGAGGATGTTAGTGCCTGACCAAGTAAAATCCATGTAGCTCAGTACTTGCTACTGTCAGATAAGAAGGGGCTGTTGGCATAAATATAGACTAGTAGTTCCTGTTTTGCTTTTACAGTATAGACACATCTTGAATTGGAACTCTTACTGTTCTACAGATCTGTTTTTAAAATGAGTTTTTATAATAAATTTGTACTTCTTTGTTTCATGGTCTCAGAAATGTCTTTAGGCATTGAATTATCTAATTTAATTATTTTCTAGACAAAGAAGGACATAAGAGCAACTTTTTAAAAATTTCATTTGATGTTCTCGAGTTCTTCTGGAAAACACTTCAGGCATTTGACATAGCATATCACTTTGTGCTACAATGATTTTTCTTTGGGTGTACTTTGATTTTACACCTGTCATTCTTACATTTTTTGTGAGCTAAAAATTCTCTTTGTGTGTAAGCTGCTCCATGCTATGATCAATATTATCTATATATTTTTTTGTGCTTCAAGTTTTTCTTTAGCTAGAAGAACTTCAACAAACAGGGGTACCACTAATCTGTCAGCAGCATAAGGCTATGTTATGTTTTCCCTTCCCTTCATTAAAAAATAGTTTAATATTCTGGATGGTTTCTAACCTGACTGCTTGAAAGCACTGAACAAATGTTTTTGAAGCTATGTGTTCTGTTACAGTTTTTTCTGGCACTATTTAATAACTCCTACCAGTGTATTATGTTGCATTTATTGACATGTGACTTCATCTGCTGCTTTCTGTGCTTGCTGCTCAGTGTTCTGAGGTTTTGCAAGTTTTGTAATGGTTTGTTGGTTTTGATGAATCAGAATAATTTTGTATAAAGCACAGATGCTTCTGTTATGATGTGTAGGCAGGTAACCATTCTGAAGAGCAGTCCAAGCCCAGGCACAGATTATGAAGAGGCTTCTGAGCTCTTTCCCCTGTCAGGCTTTGTCTCTTAATCTTACCCTGCAAGGTCTTCAGTTCTCTAGTAGCTTCCTATCAGAGACATCAGCAGAAACTTCCTACTTCCAACACCTTTTGCCACAGCATCCTTGATGCCTTCATAGAACTCTTCAAGTTGTGGCACATGATTTTGCTCTGTAAAAGCTGCGTTGTTCTTTTTTTCTTTTGATTTATTCTAGTGTACAGATTCTTAGGCATGGTTTTAACCATCTTGTGCAGTATCAGAGTCAGACTGTGTTGTGCTTCTGATTGCCTTGTCCCATCTGAGGAAAAATTTATTTATTTTCCTCTCTTGATACTTCTTTGCTTGGCTCAACTTAAGCCCAAGTTTTTGCAGAATTAATATTTTTGAAATTTCAATGCTTTGGCTCAAGAGTGTTGGACTGGTGAATTCTTACTGATAATTTGATATTTTTAATTGCCTCTTGGATGCTTCATTTTTAGAAAATGCGTTATATATCCTAAATCTGAAGAGGATCTAATTTGGGGATTGGCCTTAACTGTCTTGTTAGTAATTTCAGAAAACAACAGATCATCTAGGTTTTCTATTCTGTCTTTATCTTCTTATGAATTTGTCTTTTATACCTTCATTAGCTAGTGAATTATTGCATTGAGGTAGCAAGATGTTTGTAACTATCAGATTCTGCTATGTTTGAGCTCAGAAATAACAGTGGACATATTGTGAGATTTTATTGCCTTCTGGCAGATGGCTGTGCAATTCACTGGAAAGCTTTTATTATGATTCCATGTACTAGCTAGTCTATGCCTGTCAATTAGACCTGTATTGGACTTGCATTACCAGCTTTAAGTTCTACTAATGACCTGTGTACAGATGAAAAAATGCACATAGGTAAAAAGTTAATAGTAACAGGAATTCTAAGGAAAAGTGGGGTTTGCATTTAGTTTTCTTATTGACAAAATTCTGCACTCCAAAATACGTGATAGCTCAGTTCTTTAAAAAGAGAAATAAAGCTATGTTGTTGTTTGTGTTCAGGGAGCAGAAGATAGAACTTCTTTGTGTTGAAGTAGCTCCAGCCTGTTGTTTCATTTGATAAATGGAAATTTTTAATGGGCTTCATTTTACCACATGCAGTTCTTAACATTTGCATGAAACTTGAATGTGCCCAGGTGCTGGTGGTGGTGTTTGTTCCACTTTCATGAGTCCCATTTGAATGAGGATTAGGATTTATGTTCCTGTCCAGTGACTGGTGTTTCTTCTACCCACTTTGTATTTTTGTTAGTAAGATGAGCCAAATTTACTCTAATGTTTTGCTCTTGCTTGTACTTTTTTGCTAGTGGAGACTTACCCTTGGGCTTTGCAAATTTGGAACAAATTATTTTGTATCTGTTTCTTAGAAATGGGATGAATTTTATAATGCTTGTAACCTCCTGTGGTTTTTTTTTCTCCTTTCGTATTTACTTGCTGATCCTTTTCAGTGCCTGAATCTTAGTATCGCTTAGTCTTTTCTATTTTTGGTCATGGAGAATAGAAGTTTTGTATTTATATTAGGCAGTTCTTTGTTTCTCAAACATACTAAGTAACCAGAAGGGAATACTAAATAATGCTGCTTGAATGTGAGCTACGACTGTCCCTTCTCAAGGTTTTATGAATGTGTTTGTGAGCAGTGCTTTGTTTTAAATAATGGAGAATTTGAAAATAATTTTGTTTTCTTCACCCCTACGCACTTGTCTTTCTTTCAGTTTTGCTTTATGTGTTTTTTCCTATGAGGGCATTGCTAAACTGTTATGGAATGTTTTATTTGAAGTTGGACATTGTGGTGTGAGATTGTGAGTGAATGCTTATCATGGGTCCACACACAGAGATTATACAGTATACCTTACACTTGTAAGTTGTCTGCAAAGCTTGTTCTTTACCATTCTTTAAACCAAATATATTTTTTCCTTAATATAAACCCTCAAAACCTTCTGTGTCAGTTTGCTTCACCTAAATTGTGGTCCAGATTTACAATTTGAAGTTTTGGTCCTGCTAGTCATCCTAACTTCCTGACCTCCTACTTTTCTAGATCTTAGAGTAGTTAGAGCCAGACAGAAATGTATGTCTTGAGTGGTTCCTTTCTCTCATTGCCACTTGTTTTCTTCCACTCTTATGAATAACTTGGTCTTTCATATAACAAATTTTGGCCTTCTGTGCTTTCATTTTCCTTAATAGGTTTCTGTTTTCATTTTACCAAGGGCAAGATTCATAAATAAGTAAAATTGTCTTAATTTTTCAGCTACAGTACACTTGTCATAAAAAATTCCAAGAACTTAAAGAAAAATCTTCTCTTACATGTGTAGAGACAAAATTATTTCTTCACTCAAAATTATGTGTACTAAGTGATAGCATAGTATTGCTAGCAGTCATTTGAGAAATCTGCTCTTTTCTTTTAGTTGTATTGTCTGGTTTTTTTGGGTTTTTTTTAAAGCTGGTGTCTGGTAATCTGAAAATGCAGGGTAACTTACCTAAGTTTCAGTTTTGCAATGTATTTGAAAATGGTGAGATAGTTAAAAGAAGTTTGATATGTTTTTCTTTCACAGAGTCTCCAGAAAAGAAAAAAAAAGTATCTTTCAGTAGGTGAAAATCAGAGGAAGTAGCTGCTGGCATAGGAAAACTGTATTAAAGGACATTTCTGAAGGAAAACTTTTAAGGTATGTGGGCTAAGTTATGCTTTGCGGAAGAGCTTTCCTGAAAATTAGGTGCCTGCTTTGCTTTGAATGGGACCAGTATTTCAAATCAGCTTTGAAATTATCAGGCAAACTTTTATTATCCCTTCAGATGTTTATTGTTGACAAAAGCTCTGCAGAAGGGTTAGTTTTACTAGTTTATGTTGTATGCATCATATCTATGCATACAAAGATGGTCTTATGAATATGAGATTAGTGTACACAAAGGGTAGATAATATATGTGTTTTGAGTTTCATGGTCTTGTGCATTCCAGGAATGGATCCTACACTAACAGAAATGTCAGTTGTTTGACTGTCTAATTTTTGTTTAAGGTGTGGATGGAACACTAAGAATGATTTATTTCATTATTTTAATGGAATATAACTATTGTAAGCCTCACATTGAGAAATTGAGAAGGACTGTCTAACAAATTCATAATCTATTGTAAAAACGCTTTTAGTTTGGTATAGAAGCCTTGATTTTAAGGATTTGTCTCCTGAATCCAAATCCTCTTTCTTTTCTGATTTTGAAATATTTTTAATGTTTGTAGAAAGTGTTTGCAGAATAAAAGACACGCTGTATTCTCTATGATTTGGAGCCCATGCAGATTTAGGAGTAATCTAAATTCATGGTCAGCACATGAAGAGTGGGAGAATCCAGATCTGTGATGTGCTTTCCTATTCCGACTTTAGCTGGGGGCCAGGTGTGCTTTCTGGGTTTGTGGTTTTTTAGTTGCCTACCTTGTTGCTGGTACTGTGAAACCACAAGTTCCAACTTTAGATCCATCATTATTTTAAGTTTATAAAGTCACAGCCTTGGATATAAGTGATGGCAATATGTAGCGGAAGACACCAGTTGTTACAAGTGGAAGTGTTGCATTGTATCTGCTCTGTTCTTCCTTGCTCATTTAATTTCAATGCGTGTCAGACTCAGGACCTTTGGTCAGACACAGCGTGGCCACTTTCCTGTGTCACAGTCAGATTGCAATCTTTAAATTAAACGTACATGGGTTATGGAAACTACTTTCTTCAGAGTTGCTGCTGGAATCCAGCAGCATGACTAACTGGAGTGCTGGTTTTATTTCCTGAGGGGAGTGTTACAATGTTGAAGGATTATGTGACCAGCAACTTCCTTGAAGTTTCTCACTATTTGGCTGAAAAACTTTTAACATTGATTTGTTTTGAATCTGACTGCACCACTGTGTTGATGGTTGACAGAAATTTTAAATTGTCTTTGGTAACTCTGCTTAAATTTAGAACAGGTTGAGATCTGCTTGCTCATTCACGCTATATTATTGAATGTACATTCAATGTGTACTTCCTGTGAGTGATTAGTTCATTGTTTTGAGCGTAACACTGTAAAGAACGTAAGTGCTACTTTCTTGGAATTGATTGTGAGATGCATTTTACTCCTAAGTTTAACAGATATTTTTTGACTAATATACAGGTACAGTGATTTTTTTAGCCATCTGTATCTATGTCTGTAATAGATAATATAGGATATTACATATCTTCTAAGATATTATATATATATCTTATATTTCAAAATATAAAAAAATAGCTGCAGCTCATTTGTCTTATTTGGTGGTACTGGTATTTTATTGCTTTTACAAGACGCGGTACAATTCTGTTTGAAACTTCACTGGCATGTCAAATTGTGCAAGCTATGTTCACATATGGAAAAAGAGATAAACCTCATGGATATCTGCCAGAAGCAGAAGAAATCTCTTCACAGTAAGAGTAAAGCAATTCCTGAAGGTTTCTATTTCTGTATGAATTTAGCATATCATGTTTGTTTTTATCACTTCTCTGTCTAGTTTGTTTTAAAACCTCATGCCATCTCTGGTTTTTCTGTTAAGATAAAATACTCTCCCATGTTTTTTTGAGAATTTTTTTCCCCCAGAATAGCACTCACACTGTATTTTCATCTTTTGAACATTAGAGAAGAAAGTATGCTTGTGTCTCAAACTCCTCATATCTCGTACCAGTTCCACATTAAATCTTTCCTGGGTTCAGATTTTGCTGGTTTTGCTGATTTTTTTTGCCAGTGGTCTGTGATTACAAAATCTGTCTGGGAATCTTTGTCTTTCAGTGTGAGTGTTTTAGTGTTGTATGGTAAAGCCAAAAAAATGGGAATATTAGTATCCCATAATCCAGTAGCTGTGAACGTGGGGAAGCACAAGGAGAATCACACCATGAATAGCAGCCCAGCTAGTCTGCTGTTCTTAAATGTCTTGTGGTGCCATGGTTGGAGACACAGGGCTGATCTAAATGCATGTGCTGTGCCTGGGTGATCACTGTAGGTCCCTTCTGACTGAAATATTCTGCTGTATTGCTCTGGCCCTGTAGGGCAGCTGTCGTCTCATCTGTGGTCACTAGCGAGGGACATAGCAAACTTGGAAAAATACCTGTCTGTGTTGGTGCTAGATATAGTATTTTTGAACACTGCTTGAAAATTTGCTTGTGTTTTTTAAGAGTATTTGAAAATCAGGTTTGTGTGTTCATGTGTTTGGTAAATCTTACAGTTCTGACTTCAAATTAATGTCTGTGTGATCTGTACTGTTTTCTGTTGTTTAAAAACATTAAAAATCAGAAGTGGTTTAAAGCAACAGAATTAGTTTTTAGTTTATCAAAATTTAAGCTTAGTCAAGTGGCTTAGGTCTTGAATACTTCTTCACCATTTCTTAGCCTCCAAATAAAGCACTTGAATTTGGCTGGATGTCTTGGTTGAACATTTTCTCAATTTACATGGAAGTCACATGGCAGCTGACTTACCTATTTGGGAATCATCAGTTCTCAGTTTCTGTACTTGTTAGTTTTAGCAAATCAGAATTGTACCACTTTTGCAAAACAATTCTGTGCTGTGCTGCTTCTGTCACAGAGAAAGAAATAATTTAAAACAAAGATGATAGTCCAGTATGTGTGCAATTTTTGCCTATGTATCCAGGCATCTAATAGTGGAATTGGAAAAAAAAAATCTGTTTACTGCTTCATGTAGAGGAACTTAGCAGGCTGGAGTAAGATATTCTTGGGTCTTTTGTTCTATTGATTTTTGTAATCCTATATCTCCTTTGTAAGTCACTAGAAGCAGCCTGAAATATCACATGCTGAGAATATTTCCTCCTTCCCTTGCCATACTGCCTCTCAGTAAAAAACAGAGGCTAGGGTAAAAGCAAGCAAGCCATTAGTTTACTCATAATACAAAGCTGAACTTCACTGTGAGACTCAGTTCCCATCTCTTCTAAATCTGGATATAAGGAAACAAGGGTACTATCTTTTCTCACGGCTATTCTGCTAGGAGAGTTTGGTAATGTGCTAAAATGAGGTAGGAGAAAGATGAAAAGTCATAAAAATGGGTTTAGATGTAAAGGACATTGAAAATTCACTACTGTAGCTTTTGTCATGTTAATAAACAGGGACTTTAAGGTTTTTTTCTTTGGTTCATGTTGCTAAAATGTTTGTGGTTCTACAAGAGTGTTCCTCAATTTTAACTGTGGATGTATTTTCATAATGCTACTAATAATGACATAGTTCATAAATACAGCCAACATAAACTATTTACTGTTGCTGCGTATGACTGAATTCCTAGCCATCAAGAAAGATTCTGACTAAAATATACAGCTTCAAATTAAAGAGTTTATGAAAGCTTACAGGTTTAAGGTTACTCATACAGCTTTGACTTGTCTGTATTGTGTAGATACATAGTAATGTGACACAGTTCTAGTTTTCTTTATTGGATCTTTGTTTTGTAGCATGGTTTGTGTTCTAAGAATAAACACATAGTACATGAGGCTTATTTCAGAGGTTGCTTGAGGTTCTGATTTGCAAAATCTTCAGAAATTTTGTGCAGTAACTGAAGCCAGTAACATATTTATTTTTTCTGAATACCTAACATGCTAAAATGCTAGGCACTCTGAAAAGTCTGTCTTTAAGCCTTGTACATGTTGGTATGAGCTGCCACAGTGTTGACATTAGTTTATGTATATCAGTTCTTAATGCAAAATATGAATATTAGTCCTACTTCCCTCAATGGACTGCTAGGAAGATAAATTTGTTAATGTTTGTAGAACACTGCTAATTTAAGTGGTAATGTGTAAAGTCTATGAAGAAATTGGTATTTCTGTGTTAAAAAGAACCAAGACTTTGCTGTAGTGCAGGAATTGGTGAATAGGCAGTGCACAGGCTGTGGCTGCACTGCAGTCCAGAGATAAGGGTTGCAGTTTATATAAGTTTATCTTACCTACTTGAAGCTGATTAATATAGGAACAGGTGGTATGTACACAGAAAAGAGGGTTCAGCCCACATTACAAAACCTTGTGCAAGAGTGTGTAGGAATTACTTCTTTGTGTGGTTTCAGCTCTTCCACAATGTAGCTGTATATTTTATCACCATCAGATGCAGGTGTTTCAGAGCTAACTCTAGCAATTGGTTCTGCTACAGGGTTTCATAAGGCAGCATATCTTATGTGTTTATCAATCTTACTTTATGTCAGTTTGGTACAGTAAGACTGGCCTGTCCTAGGGTAAAATGGTGTGAACTAAAGAACTCTGACCCAGGGGACTAGTGTATGGCTGGATGGGAAACCTACTTTGGGATATTTTCTGGTTTTTGGGAGGTTGAATCTTCAGGTTTAATGGCCTGTTAACACAGGGTTTAGGAGCAAACTAGCTTCTAAATAGTTACCAACTTCTCACAGATGCAGTGCTTTATGTGGATTTTTCTGTGCTCTTAGGAGAGTAAACGTGAGAAACAAATGTTTCAGGTCACCAGGAGTAGAAAAGTGCAGCTGGCAGCTTGTCTGGAGATACTGTGCTTATTTGGTTAAATATGTAGATTGGTCTTAAGTGTTTGTCTTAGATGCTGTTATCTTTACTTTCATACTGTACTTTAGGTTAGGAAGGAATGATTTTGCGGAAATGTGAACTGGAATTCTAAGGCTGAAATATTTTCCAGTCAGAGTTTGTTGTTAAAAACAGTGCTCTGAGCCTCCTTTCAGTTTACACTGAGGAAGTTAATGTATGTGGTTAATCTTATGATTAGGTAATTTCAGGGTTCAGGCATCAATAATTGCCCTTTGTCTTACCAGAAGTTTTTTCTTTTGATAATTGTCTCATCAGTCTTGTTCTCCCTTTCAGATGTGGTGAAGAGCCTCTATTTTCCCCTGTCTGGTATATAGTGCCTTAAAAAATGGGGTTTGGAGGTGACCTGAAGTATTCTCATGATGCTTTATTAAAACTGCAAGACTGGGAACTACGACTGCTGGAAACAGTGAAGAAATTTATGGTAATGAGAGTAAAAAGTGATAAAGAATATGCGTCCACTTTACAGAATCTTTGTAACCAAGTAGATAAAGAGAGCGCTTGTCAATTGGATTATATCAGCAATGTGTCCAAGGTAAGTCTGAAGTTTGAATTTGGAATCCTTGGCTTTTGGGTTTACTTTTATTTTTTTGGTTTGAGTTGGATTCCTGTCCATTCAGTTTCTTGAGAGTTAATGTTGACAAAGTATTTAAAATGGATTATTTTAATTTGTCAGTGAAATATGCATAAGTTGAGCTCTAGTCTTGCTTTGAAAAAAAATAACTGAATGAGAATCAATCCTGATTCTTGAAACTCAGTATTTTACATAAATGGATTGAGCCTGTCTCTTTGTTTAATGCTTTGAAAATCAAGTATGCTATAGTAAACTTTTCTTTTAAGATAGGAACTATTGTTTATGCTATATAGAATTTGTGACAGAAATAGAAAAATGCCAGGAAACCAAGGCAAAGCCTAGCATTCCAGCTGTTACTCACACTGCAGCATGTGTTGTAAGAAGAAAACATTAATTCAGGATGTTTCTCATAATTGTGAGGTTTTGTATTCTGTTTAAAGGAACTATGTTGACTTTTTTAAAAGGTAAGGCTATTCTCCAAATTACTGGTTTTTAGATTTAGAGTAACTCCAAGTAAATGTAATAATTAAGCAAACGTCCCTTATCACCTGTTTGAAAGTTTTACTCCAGACCTGGAATCTCTACTGGCAAGAGAAGACTATTCTGTTTTGATGGCTTATTTGGTTCTTGGCCCTTGTTCTGTAGCAGAGGTTACACAGTCCATTCAGTCTGGAGTGAATCCTCATTTTCTCTCTGCAGGAAACACCCTTTCTGGGTCAGGTTAAATTTCAGACAAAGCAGTTTTTATGTCATGGGCTTATTGGATGGCTGCTTGGACAGCCCATGACATAAAAACATGGCTGTGGTGCAGCATTAGGAACAGAAGTGCTCCTTGTGGGGCAGGATGGATGTATACAGGGTTAAAGTGGCTGTGTGTGACTTGGAGGCTGTGCTGATATAGCTGGGCTACTTCAGCACTGTTATATAAACTGCAGTGTTTATGTATAACACGTTCTGTTGTTGCTTCCCTCCCTCACAATAATTCTTGCCTTGTAAATTGAAATACTGCCCTTGTTTTTCATTGGCACAGAGCATTTAGCATTATAAGGTTTAAACGATCATTAACCTTCACATAGGTATCTCAGTCTAGGACAGATCCTGTTAATAACATGAGCACTTCTTGTGAGCAGATAAATCAAAAAAATCTGGGGATCTGACTTAAGCCATCTTCTTTTTGCCTTGAAAAGAGGTGTACATGTCACATTTTGAAATCTTGTTTTGAATGAAGGCGCTCAAGTTGTCCTTCAGCATCATTTTCATTCCCTTTTTTTTCCTCTTAAGGAGGTGTAATTTTTCAGTGTTGCATCTCTGATTTCTATGTTTTCTCTGTTTTCCACATTTTAATAGCAAAAATATTCATATGGACTGGCTGATATATTATATGGGCTTGCCTTATAATTTCACTGACACCTTGGATTTTGCAGTTCTGTAGTGACACTTTATGTTACTAATTTTGGCAGTTAAAAAGCCTGAATTATTGATTATTTAATAATCTCATTCTAATTTATTTTCATCTTTTGTGATACTTCTTTCTCTCTTCCTGACATTTTACAAAACCAAAGAATGATGGAAGTATGGGAAATAAGTCAAGTTTCTTACATCTTTTAAGATATAAAATACCTGTTTTTGTTATTATGGTATTATTTGGCATTTTGTGGCATTAAAACCCAATAGCAAGCTGTTTAATTTTTAATAGGTTTTGTTTTGTTGGTTTTGTTGTTGTGGTTGTTTGTTTTGTTTTGATTTGATCTCTAAATGTACAGTAAGAGTGAGCACTTAGAGAGAAATGGTGTTTGGGAAAATCTGTCTTCTGTTTTTTTTTCATGTGGAAACAACAAACTTGCTGGAAGGCATGGTAGCAGGAACTGGTAATGCTAGAAAAGGGGTGTTTTTAACAGCTTCCAGACTGCTCTTTTATGTGTGTATATGTCTGAAAAATAGTGTTAAAACAAACAATAATGTATTTTACTGCATTTGTTGAACTGTGGTCATTTTTTTGTGAAAGGAAATGCTCTTTACCTTTTCTGCTGTTCCAACCCAGCTTTTTTGTCCCATATAAATCTCTGTTATTGAAGCATTTTCATGTCACCTTCTCCTAATTTAAAATAATAAGAACACAGCACAGAAACCCCGCTTTACTGATATTTCATTATGGAAACATCACTTTCCTCTTTTCCTGATGGAAAGAGTGATGTGAAGAGCAGGGAAGTACATGATTTTTTTTTTAATAGAAAGGGAAGTAATTGCTATGTTTCTGGCTTATTTAAGCTCATTTAGTGAGTTATAAACTAAGCATTTCCTTAGAATACCTGTACTATTGAAAAATGCTTTTGGTGTGATTTTTCAGGATTCAAACAGTAGTTGTTTCATCAGTAACAAATCAGCCTTGCAGAAAATGGATGATTCTAACTACATTTTCACCTCTGAGAGCACTTTCATGAACTCTTCTGCAACCAGAAAGGCCCACTCTTTTCACAAGTGTTCAGTGCTGTTTTACCCTATGCAGCTTTGCAGTATGACTTCTGAAATGGTCTCCAGCCACAGCAGGAAAGCTTTAGGCCTTGACATTTTATAACATCACACTTTAAGCAGTCCAGATATCTCTGTTCCAATCTGTGGGACATTTACAAGCTGGAAGAAATGTTAAAGATAGTCGAGTATGTAGGGGAGTCAATTGTCTTCTGTTCTGTATAATCCAGTCTCTGTTGCAGCATTGTCATGTAGAGATGGAAATATTAGGTATATATGTTTGTATACAGGATATAAAGAAACTCCAAAGCTAAGAAACAAATTATTTTCTAAAGTTTTTATCTCAGATTAAGAGCCAAGATAAATGCAAATAGAACTCTTATGCTAGGTGTCTTCACAACCTTGTAACTCTGTGGCATGTAGCCACTCTGAAATCTTAGCTATAGCACAGCATTCATTGTCAGGGACTTATCTTTAAGGAATCCAGTGTATGACAGCAATCTTGAGGGTAACCAAGGTTTTATTTGTACTGAAGTTTAATTTCACGTTTGTGTCTCTGGTATCTGTAGATACCAGAGGTATATCTGTATTCAAAGCCACTCACAGCACGTTAAGCTGTCCTGAAAACTGACAGAATGACCGAGCAAGCTCTTAAAGCAAGGGTTCAGAGGGATGCTGGGTTACAGTGACAGATGGGTGTTGTGTCTGTGCTTTGATACTGGTGGCCTGACTGATGCTGCTGTGTGAAGCAGCTGATGTAATGGTGTCCTCTTAAACCACCACCCCTCAAATGCATATTGCTGTCAGGTATTCAGACAAAGGTGGAAGTCAGCTTGGGCAGGGCAACTATGGGGGGAAACTGGAGGACAAAGGATGTTGGAATGTGGTTGTCAGGGATGTTAGGGGTATATTTTAAAAAAAATAAGGCTGCAGTGCTTTCTTTGGTGTAGAGAAATACCATGACAATGCTGAAGGGTGAATATTCAATACTGTATTTTTCTCTCTGGTGCTTTTTTATGATTTTATGAGTGAGATTGAGGCATGATTTTCCTGTTGCAGGAGGATCTCGAATGCATTTGGGTAAGCTTAAAATGATTTGCTTTACTGAATTTTTTTAAACAATGATGCGTCTTTTCCCACAGTTCTTATTAATTGTGTGGTTATTGTGAGCTGAAATAAATAAGTGCTTTTCTGTTCTGACTTTTTTATAGTCTTGGTTGCTTGTGGTACAGCAAACAGAGCAGCTGAGCAAAATAATGAAGACACATGCTGAGGATCTTAATTCTGGGCCCTTGCATAGGCTTACAATGATGATCAAAGATAAGCAGCAAGTTAAGAAGAGTTTTGTAGGTGTTCATCAACAAATTGAAGCGGAGATGTACAAGGTATTTTATTCATCTGTGCTTGATAAGTAGATTATAATACTCATATTTAAAAATATTAAATTAAGGGTGGGTTTTTTGGGTTTTGTTCGTGCTGTGGTAAAAGCATAGTGGGTGATATGTAGAATGTTTAGTTTAAATTTTAATCATTTTCTTCACAGATTTTCTTTTCCTGATAGTTGATAAGGCAAAGATGGAAAGGTTTCTTCCATGAATTTCCGTGGACAGATGGAACTGGAAACGTTATTCTAGTAGAGGATAATGAATTCTTGTGTGACGCTTCTCTATTCCATCTATTTTCCTGTTCTAATTCCACTTTAGACATTCATGGGACCAGGGCACTGTAAACTGTTCTCAATGAGTGCTCTTGGCAGTCCAGACTCTTTTGGGAGGGGACAGGGTTCTAGTCCCTATTCTAAAATATAGAGCAAGTGTAAACTAAACATTGAGACTGCAGGTAAAACTCTTCAGAGTGTTTTCCATGACATGTCTGTTATCCTGCTTGTGTTCAAAGTGCTGTATCTTGTCAATAAAGCTGACAGAAATCACAGTTTCAGATGCTCTGGGGGAAATTTAGCTACAGATGTCAAAAATCAGAGCAATAGTCTGAAAGGTCTACTGAGAGAAGGAAAAGCACTGTTTCTTCCTTCTTCCAGCAGAGAATTTGGGATTTGAAGTAGTGTAATTAAAATGTAAATCTGAGTAAAGCAGAAACACTGTCACGGATTGATGAGTAAAAGATTCTTGGGTCAGTTCTGAGAAGAATTTGGAGCTATTCTGTATTTAAACTAAGACTATTTTAAGTTAAATACATTGGCTCTAATAAGATTGCTTCCATAATATGCTAGAATCCTGGCATCTTCTTCAGGAAGGGACTATGGGGATGTCTTTTTTGATGCACGGTCAGTAGGCTGTCATTATCTGATGAAACTTCAAGCCAAATGACCACTTACTGCTACTTACGAATTGGTGCACCTCAAAAAAGTCAGAATGGAAGAAGAGGAAAAACTGGAAGCATGTGTTAGAAATAATAGAAGCTGTAAAGAATTGCAGAAAGAGAAAAAGAAAGATGAGAAGGAAAGGCTGAATGGAGTAAGAGTGCTGTAAGCTCAGGTATACTTTGAAAAGAGACTATGCAATGTTTTGTTTTCTGTTAATAGACCAAACTCTAATAGAGCCTCTTATAAAATAGTTTTTTAAAATAAGATTTTTCCAAAAAACCATAATGCATACTGAGCACTTGCCAAATGATTATTACAAACCATATTAACTTTATTTTATTATGGGTTGCATAGCCACGAAGGTATTTTGCATCCTGCTGATTAAGCTTGCATTGTTGTTTGGTTAAAGGTTTTTTGGGGTTGTTTTCTTTTTTTCCTCTTCCTGAATTTGCAAAGAAGTATTTGAATAGCATTCTCCTATTGTTAGCTGACACTGTTCAAGGTTTTGTGTACCTGGAGCACTCTAAGAATGAATCCCTGAAATTCAAAAGACTTCTGATGTTCTGTGGTATTATTTCTGATTGTTATGCACAGAGGTAAAATGTCAATTATATCTCAATACAGTATGGAAAGTTTGTGAACATCAGTGTCTGTGCAGCTCCTATTTTTAGGATAAGATGGCATAAAAATATGTTTAGTTGAAATGGATGTATGTCGTCCTTTCTTATTCTAGGCACCTCTACAATGAGGAATCTTACGGGGCAGATTCTTAAGAATAGTAAATAGCATGGCTTTTGCACAAATGTAGTGGACTTGTATCTTGTAGATTTATTCCAGTTTCCATTAAGATGTTGAATAATTTTCTTTCTTCATGAAATTTGAAGGGGAAAAAGTAGAGTACTATGCTAATTAGGTGGATAAGACCTTTTGAAATAAAAATGGAGTTTAAAGAAATCCTTGACTGTCTTAATTCCTTAAGTGTTCTTTGGGAACAGACATGCTCTTGGTGTTGGTTTTATCTGTTGGAAAAACACAATCTAGATTAAGAATCATAATGTAGATATTATAAAGTTTTCCTAATGCTAGTGCCCTGTTTTATTTTTCAGTTTTCTGTAAGAGAAGCTGTTCTTATTATTTATTTAGGTGTTCTTATTATTTAGATGTTCTTATTATTTGTCTTATTATTAGCTGGTCTTAATTACTTCCTAATTGCATCTTTTTCTCCATTTGTGATGATGTCTTTATGACAATTTGTATTTAAAGTTATGTCTCCTATATTGCCTCTATTGGTGTATAATAACAGCAGATGTGTATAATTAACAGATTGTAGAAATATGAGATGAGTGTATGTGATTGATGTGGAGAAAAGGTTCTGCCTTCAAATTAAATACTGCATAGTTGGCCCAAAAATAGAAGCTGTAGACAGCACTTTGTTGGATCTTTAACGAATTTCATGAAGTTTTCAGATGTTGATGAAAGTAGTGTTATCTGGGCCTTGCATCATGAAAAAAAGGGAAAATGGTGAACTTCAGCCTTCTTCCTGCCAGCTGCAAGAGGAACAATTTTTCAGTAGAATGAATTTCTTTTTCTACACATTCACTGAGAGGAGCGCTTCCATTAAAAGTAGTTAATAATTTCTCTTCCATGATTTTCCAGTTGATGTCTGTTATTCTATTGGATTTTTTTTTTTGGTTGGAATTTTTTGTTTTTCTTACAATATATGGTAGGTGATTTGGTATTGTGATGGCTGGTTTTGTTTGCAAGTTCATTATTTGGTATTATTTCTGAACAGTGCACTACTTTTGTCACACACTGAATGAATACTGGCGGAAGAAGAGAAAACTTTAATTTTTTGGTCAAAAATGTTGTGTTCAGTGCTCAGTTTCATGGTAGATGTTTCTTATTTGGTTAGTTGCTTATGTAGTTGGGTTTTTGTTTGGGTTTGTTTGTTATAGGTTTGGTTTTCCTTTTAAGGGCTTAAATTTTACCATTGATAGATTATTTCATGACAAGTTACTGTTCCTTAGTCAATTGTAGGAAGTGTAATGTCTAAAAATTTTGCTTTTTATTAGGTGCAAAAGAAATTTCTTCCTTTGCATAGGACATTCTAAGGCAGTATGATTTATTAAGCATCTTTTTGATTTTTTTTGCCTTGTAATTGGAATAGAATATTGTTGATGATTAGCTGGATTTTCTAAATATTTTTAATTACATTGATGTGAATGGGGATTTGTGTCTTAGGCCTCTTACTTAATTCGATGCATTTATTGATTTTGATTTCACGCCATGTAATGTACACCATGAAATTTGCACCATGTAATATCCTTTTAAGATTTTTCTCAATCCAGTGGAAAGTGTAGCATCCTTATTTTGGATAATAAATTCTGTTAATTCTGTTTTACTAATGCTAATTTTTTTTTTAATATGGTGAGAATAAGTATTTCTAATGCTTTTAATATTTCCCTTTGTTAAAGGTCACAAAGACAGAACTAGAGAAACTTAAATCTAGCTACAGGCAACTAATAAAAGAAGTAAATTCTGCCAAAGAAAAGTATAAAGAAGCTGTGGCTAAAGGTATGATTTACTTCATTTTGTATATTTATTAGTGCTTTTTTCAAATCTGCTAAAACTCTGACAATGAAATAAGGTAATTTTTTTATTTTGAGCTGCTTGATTACAATATAAAAGATAATTTAGTATCTTAAGTAAGCCAGGCTGATTGTCATCATGTATGTTTGGTATAACCTCTTAAAAATTAATTAACTATAAATGGTGATTCTTCTAAGTTCTTGTAGCGGCCCTTCAGTGGATATTTTTGAAATCTGAAATTGCTCAGATGGACTCTGGTCTCACCTGTGTTGTAGCTACAGCCTACTTACCTGTGAATTATTATTGTTGCTACAGTGGCATCAGCATCAGTTCTTGTCAGTGTAACACATCAAACCCTTGTCAACTTCATCTAAAAGAGGAAAATAAGTCATTTGCACACAGAGATTGTTTTTTTTTAGGGAGTGATGTGCTCAATCTGCATGGATTTTGATTCCTGTTGAATTGTGCTTGAATAATGAGATAAAAAAGAGCTGTTGTTCTATTATGTATTGAAATATTGTGCTAATAGTAGTTCTTATGTGTCCTTCTTAGATTTTATTTTCTTCCTTTAGTGAAAACTGACTGGCAGTATGTAAGTGCAATTCCAAGATCCATCTTAAGGTTTTGTATGAGTGTCTAAATCACAGTTTATCTTCTTGGTTCTGTTTTAGTACAATTATAGTAGCTGTCAGTGAGGAGAGATTTTTCTTTCAAATTTGTCTCAAATTTGGACAAAACAGCAGGAGATAAGAAGTTATGCTTAGCACTGTTGAACTTTTACTGTTCTTTTTCTTTTACTGAAGTTCATAAACACTTAAAAATAAAAATGCATACTTTGATGTCAGTTTCATCCAGTTCCATGTTTTCTGTATGTAACTTAATTTGATTACTTGGTGTATTCTCAAGTAACTACTTAGCATTGCAATATGTAGTATGTATCACGGAAAATATAATGGGATGTTCGGATCTTAGTATGTTATTTTTAGCCTGTTTTATCCTCTCTTCCTGTTACTAATTTGGTCACTCTCTATTCCTGAAGCACCATACTTTCCCACTGGAATAAAGGAGTGTTTTGTCTGTCAGCAGCTGTGATGTTTTGATGTGGTTTTGATTAACTGAATTAATGTTTCTTCAGATAGACAGCAAACATAAATTATTTTTAAGACACATATCTCCTATGGTTTTCTTTGACCTTCTCTTTCAGGCTTTTATCTAATATTTGTCTTATATAATTCATACTTAATTTAATTTCTGGTAAAATCTTGCTTTGATAAACACTGATGCCCATAAAAATACTTTTCTCCCAAAAGTTGCAGAATTGCTTCTCTCCATCCCACGCTCTGTTCCTGTTTGTAAATATTTGTGCATTTGATGAGCTACTACAGTTTATTAGTTGCAGGTCAGCTGGGCTGCTTGAATTTTTCTAAGTCATGGTATTTCTGAGCTTGTAGGTTGTCAAGCTGGTTTGCTGGTGAAAGGAAAAGTTAGGGAAGTCTTAAAATTACAATGCTTCATTACAAGGTATTCTTTATTCAGTAAGCTAAGCTTATCCACATTATGTGCCATTAAGATATATTACTTTTGTTAATGTACAAACTGTTTCAGTCTTTCAGGATTTGAAGAATTATTGAAAACAAGAGAAGAAATAGTGCTTACCAGAACAGTGGGAGGGCATAAATAAGTATTGAAAATAAGCTGAAAACAATTTTGTTAAACAAAAAAAATGAAAATCTTTTGACATCAGCTCTTGCAAGTAATGTGTTAAAATAGCCCATCCAGGTTCATTTATGTAAAATGTTGTTTTAAACAGAATCTCTTCCTCTGAAAAACTGTACAAGTCTTTAAGACAGTGACTGGCCTTGCCTCTCTGGAGGCAAAGGGGAAAACTGCCTCTTAGGACATAGAATTTTAGCTTTACCCTGGGGGTTACGTGCAAGTTCGTGCAACACCTGTACGAGCTGGTCCCCAGGAAAAGAATGAAAATCACACAAAGTAGTCTGACAAATATCTCTGTTTTGCAAGAGTAGTGATTTTGAAATGTAGTAACTTTTTCTGCTTTGTTTTAGAATAGCAAAGCTGCTTTCTGGTGAGAGAGTAGGTTTATTAAACCTAATAGTGAAAGAGGTACAATTGGTTCTTCAGCATGTGAAGACAGTTGCTTCCTAGTTTTCTAGTTGAGTTATTAAAAGTGATGTTAAGCTCTGGGCTAAACACACATGGTAGAGGATATTAACTGATAAGGGTAAAGGCTGACAAAGTTTGTACAGTTAAAAGTTTGTACATAACATCACTTTCCAAGTGATATGATTTTCTGGAATCAGGAAGTAGTCTCAGGTAAACTTGAATGTCTGTGTGTGATACTTTGCACCATGAAGTGGGTAGTCCCTTTGAATCAATGGCACCCTGATGCAGGGTTACAGGTGTTTTCATTTTTTGGTGAAAACACTAGGAGGACCATTGGAAAGATTAGTAAGTGTTAAGGACTGAATAATAATACTGGTTAGTTACAGGTTTTGTTAGTGTTTGGGCAATGGGTAAAGCATGTGGTGGGAATTTTTGGATAGTTTTTTAGTTGGGAAAAGGGAATTGGTTTCTGAAAGAATGCAGGAGCTTCATTATGGAAGACTTTGTGCTGTCGAGATTTGGAGGAAGGTGAAAGCATGTGAGATTGTGTCCCAGGAGCTGTTCTGGGGAACCCTCTGCTAGCACTGCTTCTGCTTGTGCCCCAAGGGAAGCAGTGGGACTGTTGTGTTGCAGAGGGAGCACCACTGAGACTTGGCTGCCACTTCCACCTTGGGCTGGGTTGCACTGCCTTGTTGTGGCCACCAGTGTCTGCCTAATGGCTCAATCAGAAATGGCTGATTTATTTTGTTTGTTCTAGCCCTTACCCCAGTAAGTTATGCATAGCTGCTTCTTTCTGGACCAGTGATTACCATAGGAATCACAAATGCAGTCTGGTTGGTTTTTCTTGTGCATGGAGGCTCCAGGTGTCAGGCAGTCAGGTTGATGTTAGTCATTTGCATGATAATTTTCTGCCCTTTTTTCCCCCAGACGTTCATTCTTATGTTTTTTAATGTATGGTAAGAGATAACAGGCAGAGAGAGGATGAAGTCAGCAAGCTGAACTAGTCCAGTGCCTCTTAAATGAGGCGTGCTTCAGGTTTTGGGACTCTGTGGACAGATTGGATGCAGTATTCTCTTCTGGATTAGAAAGCTTTGTTAAAAAAACTCCACAAAGTATGTGTAGTGGGAATGCAGAGCATGTTCCTTTGCAGAACTGGGTCATTGGAGTCATAAGGCATGCAGGGGTCTTTGGAACAAATATAAGACAAGAGCTTGTTATATTATTTTTCTTTAATGAAATTGACAGCCCTGTGAAACAGTCTGTATGTGTGATACTGACAAAACACAGTGTGAACATCTTCCAACAGCAATCCAGAGTAACATTCTCAGAGTGTATATGAGTCTGTGTTTACAGGGCTGTGCTAATCAGTGATGCTGAGTAACAAGGTGGTTAGAATGTGGCGTGTCGATGTTGCTGCTGTAGAAAAACACATCAAGCCAAAATTTGTGCCAGATGGAAAAACCATGATTTCACCAAAGAAGTCACAAATCCTCTGAAATAATTTAATGAATGATGTATTAAGAATACAAAATAGAGACTGTAGGACAACTGTAAATATCAAGTGTGATATTTCATTACATTTTGAATCTCATTTGGTTGGATCAGTAACTGCTTCCACTTAAGTTTGCTGTTTGCACAGTTATTTTTGTTTCTGCAGGATTGTGCATCTCTAAGTATAGTTTAGTGTGTCCATGGGGGTTTCAAATATTTTCATCCTTGAACCTTTTGATTAAGCATTACTTACTGCTGTATAAATAAGGGAATAATGATAACATGAAAGAATAATTTACTCAGTTCACTACAGGTTTTTAAAAAAGTGGAAGTGCATCAATAAAATTTAGCATCTGTTTTTGTAGCTTATTTTGGTGTTAGATGTTGAAGTGTGAAAGAGTTGCTCATATATCAGTAAATATTGCAAGTTGGAACAGAGCCAGTGTAGCTTTGGGAGGTTTATACTGAATTTTAATACAACATACTCTTTAGAAAAACTACAGTTTTTGTGTAAATACATTAATTACAGGTGTTTATTATAGTCTCACTCCTGGTTCATTACTGATTGAATGTAGAAAATATTTTGCAGTGCTCTTACGTGACACAGTGGGTCTGAAATAAACAGTAAAGGAAAAATACATGGATTCTAAGTATTTAATACCATAATTTCATTTTATGCTGCTACAGCAACATAAAGAATATTTCATTACATTTCTCTAGGCTTGTGTTCACTGACAACATTGTGATTTAGAGGAGCCTAGAAATATTAAGTGTACACCTACCACATTATACCACATTGCTTCTGATGTAAGAATGTTTTCCCTGCAACTCAGGTCATTTAATACTTCAGAATTGATGTGACTTCTGTGGCACATACTGAAGTTTCACAGCAGCATAAGCTCCCATCTATGATAAATAAGGGAGCTGTTAGAAAGCTTTCATTATATCAAATTATTGTCCTACTATTTTTTGTAATGGCCAGAAGTGGTCAGAAAATACTTTCTAGGTGTCTGGTGCATTCATTCTCAGATGCCTTTAAAATTGTTATTATACAGCTACATTTCCTGGTGGTATATGTTGCCTGGAGTTGTTGCTGCAATGAGGGAAACTCCTAGTAAGATTTTTTTTTTAAGCTCAGCTTTGACTGAAACTCTCATATTGTTAAGACAAAACAGGTAACACTGGCTGAACTGGTCTTGTCTTACAGAGGCCAGCAGCCTGCATAGATTTAAAATTAATGCTCTACTGCAAGTGTTTCAACACATATTTACTACCAGAGCTTTTGCTTGGAAGGGGTAGGGTTGTTTTTTTCTGTGTAAAATAAAGCTTCTAGAGCAGGAAACCCCAGGGAGTGCAAAGAGATTGTGGTG